CACTGGTCCCTGCCGTCGATGATGTCCTGGCCGGAACTGGAATGGTCCTCCTTGTGGTCACTGGAGTCGATGCTGAGGCTGTATCGCGCTCTGCGCGAGCTGTTCCAGATGTCCTCACCTCTCTTTCGCGCTCAGCGCGAGCTGATGTCTCCGCCGGCCGAGTTCAATCTTCGCGCACAGCGCGAGCTGATGCTTCCGCCGGTCGAGGTCGATTTCCACCTTCGCGTACTGCGCGAGTTGATGTTGTCACCAATCGAGATGGATCGCCGCTTTCGCGCGCTGCGCGAGGTGATATTGCTGGATAAGATGGAACTTCCCTTTCGCGCTCTGCGCGAGGTGATGTTGCTGCCCGATTGGATGAACGTCCCTCCACAACACCAGCCGAGTCCCGTAAGCTCCTGCCTTCCACCCCTGTCGGAGTTTCCGCCGAAGATCGATCAGAACGCCTTGGTACTGGTACCACTGAAGAAAATGTCAACCGAGGACGAGACGCCGAAGTTAGCTCAGGATCACCAGCAGGCCTGTCCCTCACGTCAGCCTGCTCTGGGACCCAAACCCACCTCCACTCACCCCTAGCACCCGGTGGTGGTGGCTGAGGTGGCTCCGGAGGTGCCCGACCAAGTTCCTCTGCTGTAGCAAAATCGATTACTGAAAACACACCGCGGTTGTACCTGCTCAATTGGCTGGACCTCCACGGGTTGCCCCCTCGTCTGCCACGAGTTCGAACTCTTGATCGGGAACGGTCACGTCTATGATCAGACATACAGTCGCGCCAATGGCGGCGAAGGACGGGAAAATTATCGCGCAAGCGCGAGTGAAAGATTGAAGGTGCCAATGAAAGAACAATTCAGTAATCTATACAATTAAAGTCTTAAATTTCTTACCGATATGTTCAATCTTTCAATAGCTCCCAATTAATCTCACAACTACAGAAATAAGCCGGACTACGGCTAATAACCACAAAATTCCAGTAAATCCAGTGAATGCGGGGATGGTACCAAAGTAATATTTACGTGTATTCAAGATGCAGTAGTCAACAGATGTAACAATGGCCAGTGACACTAAGCAACAACACCTGTTTTAGCGGGCACCTTGAGCCAAACGTTGTTGGCCAAGTAAATGGTTTGATAACCAAAACCCCGGATTACAGGATTAAGGAAATAAATTATCATTATTAATAACTATTTAAATAGTCTATTCCCGTTGTAAAAACCCTGACATTATGTACACTTTACAGTCAAAAGCAACAACAATATAGTGGGCTCCGTTTTAGGACCACTATGTGGTATGAACATACATATACGGCATAGGGGTTATTCGAGTATTTTCTACTTTATATAATAATAAATTTAAATTTATGTATATAATATCTTTTTTTTATTTTATATATATAAATATAATAATATACATAATTATTATTATATATTTCTATTTATTAAATTTTTAATATTTTTTATTTTAAATCATTTAAATATTAATTAATTTTAAAAATAAATTTATATTTAATTTATAAATATTTATAATAAATTTTTATTAAAAAAATAATAATAATAAAATAAAATAATATATATATAATATCAATTATAATATATAATAAATAAATTTATTAAAAAATAAATATTTTCTATAATAAAAAAAACTTATTTTAATTAATTATATTATTATTTATTATTAATAATAATATAAATTTCGAAATAATAATTTAATAATTTGTTTTTCATCATATTTAATATATAATAATATAGAAATTCATATTTATATTTATAGATATATATAAATAATATGATATATTGGGAGAAAAATATCGATAAAATAATATAAAATTTTCAATATGGTCTCGAAACCCATTGTTAAGTGATTCTTCTTGAACGGGGATTGGCCCGAACCCCATTGTTAAGTGATTCTTCTTGAACGGTCATCCTAGGCAATGAATCAAATCTATTCAATTAGGTAGTAGGGAAAAATCTAATTCCCTTGTTGGGTAATTCTTCTTGAATTGGTGGCATCAATTGCAAAACAAAGGGCTCAATAATAAGGGAGCGCGATGAAATGTAACTACCCTCTTGGGTGATTCAACTTGAATCACTCAACAAGGGAGTTAGGTTTTTCCTAACTCCCTTATTGAGTGGATTTGTGTTTTGCCAAGATTCCACCGCCAATCGAAGTTGATGGCTGATCCAATCCAGCTGCGGAATCATGTGGGGACAATTCCTCCCCTAAGTGCAAAACATCACCATCAGCGCCAAACAGGCAATAGAAGGGAATGGAGATGGAAGAAACTGGCGAGTCCATGTAACCACACTCACAAAAAATGAACAGTAGATTACTGCTTTCATAAAAGTGAGCATGCACATGCCCACAGTAATGGTAGCATCAAGCTGCGGAATGAATCTGAACATATCTGAACCCAAGGGCCCCAACAAAGATGTTGGTATATGGAGTCCGTAGCCTGATGTTAAATGGTTTTGAATGCCATTTAAAGTGAATTACACCTTTAGTATCTGAATGTGTTGAACAAAGTACGTTTCATTCAATTATATACATGGGATCAACATCCGAGACAATAGTTAGTTTAGGCTTGTACTAAATGGCTTTGAACTTTATTTGAATTCATTACGCGCTCCGGAGCGCGTAATTGACTTCAGTATTTACATGAATGTGTTGAAAAAAGTGCGTTTCATTTAATTACATGGGATCAGCATACGAGACAATGGTTTAGGCTGGTAATAAATGACTTTGAACTTTATTTGAACAAATTACGCGCTCCGGAGCGCGTAATTATTACGCGCTCCGGAGCGCGTAATTGACTTCAGTATTTACATGTTACATGGGATCAGCATACGAGACAATAGTTTAGGCTGGTACTAAATGGCTTTGAACTTAATTTGAATAAATTACGCGCTCCGGAGCGCCTAAATGACATTAGTATTTGTGTTGAATAAAGTACGTTTCATTTCCATTGGGTCACTATACAAGACAATAGTTTAGGCTGCTACAGAAAAATTGAGCTAAAATCCAACAGTTAAAAGTGATTTTCTGAATGATATCAATGTCAAATGGAGCTTTTGGACGACCCTGAAATCCGCCCACACCGCTTTGGCGGTGAAGGCGTGCTTATTGGGGGGCAACAGCAACACTAAATGCTCAATGACATTTGTTAATATAGCAGTCGCTATATCAGCTTTAGCTGGAGGGGGGGGGGCCAAAAACGGTTTCGCACCGAGACCAGAATACGGTGGTGTTTTCGACATTTTTCGAGGATTTTTGGGTGTCTGAGCGCAAGAGGGTATTGAAATGGAATTTTGGGTCATTTTTGGTAGCTTTCCGGCAATGGAAAAACGGCCAAAAATGAAAAAAACATTGTACATAGCAAGATTTTGCATGGTTTTTGGATGCCAGAGCATTGAAAACACTGCAAAAACAAGTGTTTTGGACTGACGTTATAGCAAAAAACGTGTAAATTTCGTATGCTTGACTGGAAACATTACAAAAACACTGTCAAAAGCAATGTTTTGGAAGGATTTACTGCCTTTATTGCAAAAAACGTGTAAATTACCGTCTGTTTGACTGGAAACATTGGAAAAACACTGTCAAAAAAATGTTTTGGAAGGATTTCTTATATATATGTTGGAGTTGGCTACCGGCATTGGCACATGGAAAAATTGAAGAAAACACTGTAAATAGCGGTATTTTCAACGGTTGGGGAGATAAGGGAATTGGAAGCATTGTCGAACATGATGTTTTCGACCGGTTTTATGGCGACAAAAGTGTAAAGTACCGTGCTTTGAAGGAAACCATTGCAAAAACATGGAAACACAGAACACGGGATTTGGGGGACTATCTAGGCGTCGTTGTCTAGCTATTTGAAATTCCGCAGCTTGGAGAGCCTCCAAGGGAGGGAAAAGTGAAAATTCCATAGCTTGGGAAGCTGTCACGGCGGGGAAAAGTGAAAATTCCCTAGCTTGGGAAGCCCCCACGGGGGGAGTGAAAATTCCCTAGCTTGGGGAGCCCCCACGGGGGGGAAAAGTGAAAATTCCCTAGCTTGGGGAGCCCCCACGGGGGGGAAAAGTGAAAATTCCCTAGCTTGGGGAGCCCCCACGGGGGGGAAAAGTGAAAATTCCCTCACAGGGGAAAACCACCCTTAGCCCCTCTCACGGACCGAAATAAACCTGCGGTGTGGGCGGCCACCCCACGCGAAGCGGGGTGAATATGATATTTTTTTGAAAAAATCAATTGGCATAAATTTTCTTTGTCAATATCGTAGCCACCAGCTTAAAATTATCCCAAATCCTTGGCATTGGAACCCGCGTCCTGCAAACAAGTGACATCCATCACACATATCATCACACACACACGAACATCTGTATACAAATTATATAATGATATATTTTTTTTTTTTAATAATGTAATCTGTACACACTTTTACGTGTGCTCCCCCGCCCTATACAGCCACGAAAGAAAAACCTGAAAAGCACCTTCTTTGAGGATCTTTGAGGTATGCACCGACTCATACCAGGGAGAGGCAATAACCCCTGAAGTTTGCAATGTTCATGCATGTTCATGCTACCAGACTCCTCTTCACATAAAAAATGGCAGAGGATTGCTTAGTTTTGCATTGGATTTGTGACTTATCGTCCCGCTTGACATATCTTGACATCACTTGACCATGTTCATTTGTAGTCTACTCAGTCTACTCTATAGCCTTGATGGTGAAGAGCCATATGGGCCATATGCAATTGTCACTACTTCGAAGCGTGTGAGCCAGCTAGGCTACGGACACAAAACAACCAATTGATCAACTGTTCGCGCAGGCCATCACAAGGCCGGTGAATGACTTGCATGTATTGTTTGGTTTGGATCAGAAAGAGCAACGGCTTTCTGATCAAAAGCAAACATGACTGGAATTAGTGCCAACTGCCAACTGCCAAGCTAAAACAGCAAGTTCTTCACACAGGTCCTGAACACGCTGCAGCCATCTTTTGCTAAGGCGAAAGGATAGATCAAACAAAGTCAATTCTTTGTTTGCCACGAACGCGTTTCTTTAATCTTTGTATCATGGCCGTTTCATTTTCTTGCATACGCGTTCGCCTGCGTTTCTGCTCTCGTATGACCTGCTTCCAAGTTTTGGTCGGGACAGCAACCTGGATCAGGCAGGGTACCCTCCACAGAACTGACAATGATCATGACACAAAAGCCTAGCGCCATCCAACATCCTGCTGTCTACCACTGTCAGATTAAAATCAGATCTTTTCTCCTGTCCTCCCCGGTTTGTGGGCCTCTTTCTTGCTGACCCATGGAATGCTAGTCAAACCTGAAAATGCGTAAAATGGCCAAGTTGGTCAAGTTTTCCTCCTGAAACATCTCACTGCCCGAAGAAATCTCAAATGATCTCAAATTGATGATGGTTCCTTCCATTTGATTCGTTCATCCTGACTTCAATCCGAATTCTCTGTTCAAACACCAAATGGCGGATTGTACAAAACTAACGTATAGCAGTATAGCATTAGTGTGAGCAACCTCGCATGCCGAGCTAGACAACTAAGCCAACATCATGATCAATTTCATGCCGATCATATATGATCATATCCCTATGGAATAATAAAGAGTGTCATTGCAACTATCACTACCATATGATTGCTACGGCCTAAGGCAGTTTCAAAACAGTTGCTCTCCAATCAAGGAAAACCCATGCCAATCTGAGGGCAAGACTTAGATCGCAGATTTGTGGTGATATATCGATCACCTTGAAGCAGAAGCGGATGAGTTTGGCAGATTTGGCAGGACTCCTCTTCCCGGGGCCAAACTGAAATTCAAGTCCCTTCAACAAATTATGAAATCCTCAACCAAAATTTCAAATCAGCCGATGAACTGGTTAACATCATTCCCCAAAAAAAAGTACTGTACACTTGCAATTGTCATCTGGCAAAAAAACAATATGATCATCAGTTGTCACACGTGCAAGCTGCAATGGAACATTCGAAGGCCCGGAAAAGGCTGTCTGACTGTTACACATTCTGCGGCAGAGGGTGCTGCATTTTGCCAAATTCCGCCAAGCAGTCTTAGATGCAAAAATTTGAGCAAGGAACAAAACTAAGGGCCACAAAAGGCTGTCATGAGCAAAAGTTATCGTTTTAGGAAGTTCATGGTAGTTCGCTATATCGCTTTACATGGTTTGTAGCATGTCAAACAACGGCTATTGATTTGTCTTCAAAGTGCGGAAGAACTTCTCTCAGAACAGCTTGGTTTTGGCACCGTTGCGCAGCTTCTGCTTCTGCAGGTTCTGTTCATCTCTTTGGTTCGTTAAAAAAACTATCTTATGATAGTTTTCAAGGCCAAACTGGGCCACGCCAAGTAGATATTTCAAGACTTGACGCAAAATTGAAATGCGCCACTCCAGGGATGGATTGGGTCTCTGGCTGCCCGGGGCCCCTTTTGGCACTTTTTGGTTATCGCTACGTTATCGATTTGGGTATCGATAATTTCATCTGGTAAAATCAGGAAATGTGTGAAAGGTTGGTTCTCAAGCACAGTCTCTGCTTTCCAGAGCCTGTGTCAAGACAGGTTTTGGCAGCAAGTTCTGTGGTCAGAAGTGCGTACTCTAAGCCTTTTGGGAGCGCCTCTAAGTCTTTTGGGATCCCCTTGGTTCTTCTCCGACGAATACTAAACAATGCATACGAGGTTACTATACAATCCCAAGTGGCTGCGAAAAACAACAACACCTTTCAACTTCACCATCAAATAACGTTATCACTTTATGTAGTTCACCTTATCGCTTTCCATGATTAAATCACCTTTTTTGATGCTTACCCCCAGTAAAGTAACGTAAACTAACAAAGCTTCCTGGAAAGTGGCCCATTGAGTTCGATTATTAACCTATATTATCCATGATTATTATCCATTATCCTATCCTGTATACTGTATTATCCTAATATATCCTAATATCCTATATTTACCTACAAAAAAGGGAAGATTGTCCATAGCAACCTGTTCGTCTACCGGTGAAGCACACAGTGGCTCTTGGTCTCCAGCTCGTCCCACGGAGTCTACCTTGAGCTCCTTGGAGTCTTGGATATCCATGAGCCATGCAGCATAATGCTATTCTATATGTATAATATATATATATAATTACATACATTATTTATGAATATATATATACATATATCATATATGTATACGTTAAAGATATATATATATACATACAGTACAATATATATATATATATATTATATTATTAATTATATTATTATATGTGCGTGATTGTGTGTGTTGCTATAAGCAATTCATTCCTGATTGTAGGGATTGCTTGAGTACACTCGACGCCTGTTTGTCTCAAAAACACTTCTGGCATCCTCTTGCACCGGAACGGCAATGTGCAATCTGAGAATTCTCACCCACCCATCACCAGCAATCCCATCAAATCCCATGCGTTGCAAAGTGTGCTGAGTTCCGAGGCGGACAAGAAGGGGGAACATCGGCAACACGACACGAGTTCAGCGTGCGCCTTTGGCAGGCTACCACTGGAACGTAGGCTCTAAAACACTGGGGGATCGCTCAGCGATGGCTGAATATCACTGAGCTAAAGACCTGTTTTTCCGGCAATGGAAATCCCAGAACTGCAGCGCACCACATCAGCACACAGCCGCGTGTGCATTTGGATTTTTTGAAGATGGACTTACAGTGGTGTAGTAATGCGTGGCAAATGTCATGGAGTTCTCTTCTTCCTAGTCCTTTCACAACAACTTGGCACTGAAACTTCCAGGGTGGTATTCACTGAGTGGGAGGCCGCTCAAAAATGACTTAGCAGCTGCTGGCACCTTGGGAAAGCTCGGGCTCGTGTAAGTGGGATCATGCACGATGTGATGCGGGTGCAGGTTGAAACGGGTAATTCAAATATCTAAACATATCATAACATATCTCTCTACTTATGGCCTACTTATCTGTCATGTTCGTTTGAAAGTTGCCAGCGCACACAATCTGTAGCGACAAATTTGACTGACTTGGCTGCAAATTTTATCTGACCGCGGCAAAAAGATAAAAGACAAGTATATCGCGCAATGAATGCCTAAGTCACAGTATGATCAGATATCATCAGTATCGGGAAGTGAGAGAGTCATTGGCCTTTGGAGTCATTATATAATTGTTCCTCGATTTGGCTCACCTGTAAGTAAGATGCATTGGTTTGCGAATTGGCCATGCATTGAATGTCGAAGAATGCCATGGTCCTTCTTTTTCACCGTGCTCATCGGTGCTATTTTTGAGAGTTGGCCTCCCAGCATCTTTGGCTTTGGCCAACAAACTACGACGGCAGCGTGTCTTCAAAATCATTTCTTGTGGGAAAGTGGATCCACATAGGACCTCTGCCAGCTGGGATCGGCAGGGGATCTCCGTTGCGAAAGGTGAACTGGTTGGATATGGTTGGATGGATGCAATGTGCAGAAATCAACTGAAATGAAGGGCTAGAATCTGCTAGAATCATTAGAATCTAGAAATATCTAGAATGTCTCGACTTTTCCCGGAGATTCCTCCAATCATGACAAGATGTGACAAGATGTGACAAGATGTGACAAGACATGCCGAGTTGCCCCAAGTTGTCCACCTCAGGTGAAGAGATTTCTATGACTCAAGAAAACTGGCAAAAGCATGCCAAAACCACAGTAACATACAGGAAAACATGAGAGTGAGAAGAGATTTCCTGAATAAAGCCATGCTGCATCCCAGTTGAAGTCATCCATGTCCTCGCCCACTGAATCCTCAACCTGCTCCAACATGTCGCTATGCCTGCAAAAAGAGCTCATTTGGAGAGCGAGAGCGCAGTGTCCAAAACAGGGAACGCAAGAATTCACTCGATGTGAAACATAATTCATATAATAGCGACATGCTTCAGTCTTATTCAATTCACTGGAGTATGACTCAGTCAGTATGACTACTTGAACTGGAATTCATCTGTCCCCAAACAGAGTCGATGTCGATGGATTCGCCGCCTTATGATCTGAATGCAGGATTGTTCAACCTCGCCAAATCGTGATAAATCGTGTGCACAACCAGTTTCCCATCTCTTTCGTAGCTGGAGCAGAAACAAAATGAGCGCTGAGAAGACAAGGCACCGTTTGACAATATTGCCACCTCAATGCCACATTGCATTGCGTTGAATCTCGTTGAATCACAATTTTGAACTGCATGCTGGCTTGTGTGAAACATTGTAAGACCCAAAGGTTTCACGCAAAGGATGGCAGAGTTGCATTGCATGAATGTACATGTGCAAAGCATCCAAGAGACAAAATAATAATACACCCGACTACACCCGTGACATGGCGTATCCATATGAAAACGCAAGGAGTTCTTGCCATGCTCATGGAAGCTGCGACTAGCCGCAAAGGTAGCACATTGAACGGCTGTTCCACCCTTGAACCAATGTCCTCTCACAGTTCTATGCCACTGATCGTGCTCAAAAAGCTTGACACATCTTCATGCACGTCTTGACACTGCATTCCTCCGTGCAGCATTGATCTTTCTATGCAAGTGCATGCCAAGAAGTTCTAGGGTCTTTGTGCATATCAGTTTGCATATCCATGAAATGCCAAGAGTATCCTCGATGCCAAGCATGAAGAAGCTGGTCACCAGGGTCACCGGCACTGTCAGAAGAGGCCCAGCAACCGGGTACATTGCCAAGGTCCTGATCTGGGATCGCCAGTGGTATCCAGTGGTATCCAGTGGCACCAGAGGGACGTTAGAAGGTCAGCGGTTGCAAGCTGAGCCAAGCACAAGGCATTGCACCACCTCGGGGGTTTGGTGTTGATTCAAGGCCCGCTAGCCGTTGTCATACATTTTGTAATACCATTGCAATACTGGAATTACCATCGCAAATGCAAAATATATTGTAAGATATTGTAACTGTAATATTATGTAATACTGCTACTAACAGTATCTAACAGTAATGAATAGTACTGATTCACACCAACCAGCAGCAAATTGTGAATGATCTTCTCGCCAGGACGGTGCTGTCCAAGAAGCATGAATAAAAACCGGCTGGTGAAGCGAGTGTATGGTGTGTAGATTGGGGTCCGCAAGATCTTCTCACAGGCACCTAGCACCTAAGGTACCGGAGAAGGGCCTGCATAGCCTCACATTCTTCCAAGTCTCATGAGCGCGTTGATTGGGACATAATTAATGGGGACCAAATACAAATACATCCAAATGCGCAAATGCGACATCACACCAAATCATACCAAATCCATCCGAAATCATAAAGTAATCCAAGATATCCAAGATATCCAAGATGCATTGTGGAATGTTGTGAGGCTGCGGTCCATTTCCGTAGCGGCAACCGGATCTAGACCTGCCGTCCCATCCGTCCCGACTCAGTGGCCAAAGGAGAGACCCCTTTTTTATCACCAAATCCTCATCAAATCGGCCTCCTAGTGCTGGCTGGGCAAATATACTGGCAGATGTATGCTGCAGCTCATGCAGAACGTAGAGAGGTCGATTTGCCACATCCGCCTGAACAGACTGGAGGAATGATCGGGAATGAGGACATGAGGAAATGAGTCATGAAATGAATTGAAATGATATGAAATGAGATCCATCAAGATCCTCAAGTGCAAGTTTGATTCTTTTGAATCTGTTGATACGTTTTGTAATTTTGTAGTTTCCTCACGCGACCCTACAGGAGTCGGCCTCAACGAGACGATCTGTGAAGTTCTTTTGCTTCGCATCGAAGGGATTCCAAATCTGCAGCAGTTCGCAGCGCAAAGCCTTAGCAGCAATCAGGTGAGCAAACAAAGTGCCTCAGGACAACTCATAACCCCTATATCTGCGAGAAGTCCACCATTGGTCAAGTGAGCCCAATATTCTAGCAGAATGCATAGTGGCAAAGCATGGCAAAGCAATAATAGTAGATTGTCGCGTAAGCTGATACGTTGCGCGCTATCGCGTACTTGATCGTGCCACTATCCACTGCTTTCTCTGTTGTTGTTGTTGTTGTTGTTGTTTTCTTTGATATTGATGTGTCCTCGTTCAAAATCATAATTTGTATATTTAGAATTTAGAAACTATGTAATTATCTGCGTCAGGCGGTGAGTCAAAAAAACATGGCTTGATGCGGCGAATGCTACAAGAATATCCAACAACTTGTTGCTCTCAATTTCCCTCCCAGCTGCCGCAGTGGTCCCCTTCCGCAGCTCAGAGTCAGAAGTTTGCGCCCTTGGAAATCGGAAACGTTGGCAGAAGATGTAAGCAGCACTGTATAGCACTGTGTTGCACTGTGTAGCACTGCGTAATCTGTGTATATCTGTGTATATCTGTGTATATCTGTGTATATCTGTGTATATCTGTGTATATCTGTGTATATCTGTGTATCACGCCATCTCTAGCGTCAGAGTCCAAAGATCTTCGGAAAAATGGATAAAAAAATTGCGGTTGCGCCATGTTGCGCCATCATATATCATCCCATGTTCAGCTTGCATTCAGGTTGCGTGATGAGGATTTGAGGGTTGCAGCCATCCTCTGTGAGGTGATACTTCAGGACGACTGGAAAGGTCCTGCAGCTTGGCTTCGTTCTGTCTTCACTGGCAATCCCCAAAGGCCAAGCATAGGCCAAGCACCTTCTGGATCTTCTGGGCACAGGGCGCCTGATCAGTTTGACCGCATAAATCTTGCCCTCAAGAACGTCTGGGCACATAGAGCCTGATCAGCTTCGGATAAATCAATCAAACTCCTCCGCATCTCATCCGCTTCCAGCAAAGCGTCAACAGTTAAATATTGCACATTGCACAGTATCCGAGCATGTCTACTTGCAAAATTACAAAACATTGTCATACATTGTCATACATACACCAGAGTTTTCATGATCATCATTGAATCATTGCATCATCATGTATCATGTGATCGTCCTGGTCCTGGTCTTGAGACTGAGCCCCACCTGTCGGAGAAGGTACCCGAGCCATCACTCGGCTGGCCATAGCCCTCGACTCCTGGCCCACGCCCCGTCGGCCCGTGTCCAACAAGAAAACAATGTGACAGCCACGTGTCAGCTGCACATTGATCAGAAGGCCCCACAGAGATCGCCCTTCTGTGAACCTTCAGATGGGCCAATGCGAAAAACTTGTCGGAGTTGATTCCATTGCTGAACCCCTGAGTGGAGATTCGAGATAGATATTCAATGATACTCACATCCGGAGCACCCACATAAATTAATGAGGAAGGATCGTCCACCAGCAATGATCTACCCTGAACTTCAGCAAGAGCTGACTTTCATATCTATCATGACCAGCAACCTCTGATATCCAGTCTGCGTCTTGAAGGTGACCAGCAAACCCAGTGCAACTGACGTCAGAGTGAAGCACTCCACCTAGGAAACTAAATGAAACTAATGGAGACTAAGCATCCAATGTCCAAATCTGAGAACCACACCCGTTATGACAATCTCCAATCCCCCAAGTCTACATTCTAGATTCCAATATGATTCCAGTCATTTCAAATCCTTCAGCTTCGGGGGGGCATTGGCACAGTCCAAGAAGCTGGGAGCGTCAGCATTGTTGGCAAATTGAGCTGCAAGCCTTGGCACCGAGGTGAGTCATGAGTCCACCGGGTCTACCGGACCTGGAAAAGTATGGAACTCATATGATCTAAAAGAATATAAAGCCAAGCTGCTAGTTGACAACGAAGACACCACATCGACATGGGTATTGTAGTTGCAAATCAAACCTTGGTACACGAGGCATCTGGAACTCCATAAATTGTGTGAAATGCTAAGTTTTGGTCACAAGTTGCTTTCTTTCTTTGGCCAAGGAGCAGGATGCAGTTCCTATGAAGGCCAGGTCAGGGAAAACAAGACGTCGGATATTGTCCGATGTAACAATTTTCCTGGAGAGGCAAGTGAGGACTGGCTTAAAATATGATAAATATGACACAACCAAAACAAGTGAAACCATTGTTAACACCGTTTAATCTGCTTAATTAACTTCTTTAACCTAGGGAAGATGAAGGAATGAAGAAGGAGTGCTGGTTCAGCCATATATCTCCAAGATTCCGAGGCGTCCAGAGCTGCAAATGACGGGTTGCACGTTGGTGTCTCCGCCAGTGTCTAAAAGTGTAGCCTTCAGATTTTCCGACTAAAATGGCACGGAACTTAAATTCATCATTAAATGGCAAGGTCCGACAATGGAAGGAACAATGCCACTTTGGTGCATCCAAGTTGCTCATATCTATGGTAATTTTTCGCAAGAAACGCGACAGACTATTTCTGCCATGGTCTCGGCAGTATTGCAGGGACATTGCGCCTGCAGATGCCTCGGCGCAATGCTGTCGGATGTTGTCGGCTTCGTTGCAACTCACCAGGTCCATGCCCGTCTTGGGACCAAAGGTTGTTGTGAAGCAACAACTCGACAAGGCTAAACGGTGCAAAAAAAAGGAAGCAAAAGAAAGAAGCAAATGAGATCATATAGATAACATATGATCAAATATTATAAATATGATAAAATGATAAATCAGCATGGTCAGCAAACATCAACATCATCAAATCATGCCTGGAACAACCGACGCTGTGCTTCAGCCTGAGCTTCTGCTTCAGCCTCCAGTCGTTCTGTCAAACTTCACGTGAGAAACAAGCCAATCGCATCCGATCGCAATGACAAAGGATAGGCCGGATAGGCACGGACTTCTAACATGTAGCTATATCAAATGTTACGAAACACCGTGAAATGTTATGAAACTGTTTATATAGTCATGTTGTGCTCAAGGACAGGTTTTCACCCCGTGGTCCTCCCAGACTGTAAGAGAACGGGGCTTCAAATAGAAAGGCGCCATAGACTGACAACCTACAGTGATCTACAGTGCAAAAGAGCTTGAGCATAGATAAAGTTTGGGATTGCAAAACTGCAGGTGAAAACCTACAGTTTTAGAAAGAAAAAGAGGGCTTGGGCTGGCACGCCTGCCAACTGCCCAGCATACATACAAAATGATAGGGTTTTCAGCCACTAAGAGCAGCTAAGATGAGCTAATTCATGCTAATTATGCTAATTCTATAGAGAATCCAAACAATACAACATACATCAACATACCTAAACGCACTTCAATTGTTGCTGAAGTGCATTTCCGCCTGTTCCTTTGCTGCATTGCCTTCGGCACCAGCCTGACCTCAGGTAACACAGCAAGTCTCTGCTTGTCATGGGAACAAATCCACATAAAGGCTGTCCTCTAGTGTTGATCGAAGCCTGTGGACTAATTGTACATATATGTGTGTGTAGACAGTATATTGCATAGAATTAACAACCATTGATAGTATGAGTATACACACATATATATATATATACATGTATGTGTGAGAATGAAGAGTTTAAAGATGGGGGATGCTGCTCAGGATGCGGATTGCAATGCATCCTGACTGCATTGACCAAGGATAGGCTGGTAGATATGCTGTGCCATGTCTATTTGTTGTGTCAAGTCGGGTCGGGTTGGGTCATGTCTTGCTGTGGTGAACAAATGTAAAGCACTGGGAATTCTTGCCTGGCAAGCAAATCGCACACAGGGTTCTTAGATGAATGGAGCCAAGCTGCTACCGCATAGCCGCAAAGTGCGCAAACAAACAATTCGAGGTGCACGGAAGTGGCGAAGCTTCAGCATGGCAACCTGCATGGTATGCAGCTTCAAAGGCGTGTTTCAAGGCAAAATGGACACTGCATCCAGCCACAACAACTTCAGCTGATGCTTCAACACCAAGCGGCAAACGGCAGAAACATATAAGACCAGCCCTAAAATGTCATCGGTGCTATTGATGCTACCAGGCGTAAGCACGACATTGCTTCATTTTTCTTCCAAAGTGCTAATTAATATTAATATAATATATGAATAAATGAGCCAAGAGACAGAATGCAAGATCAAGAAAGTGGCTGACACCAGCTTGTTGGATGATGGAGACTGCCCAAAGGACCCTGCACTGCCTAATGTCTACGGTTTGGGATTAGCTCGTGGCGCATTGAACCCAGTGTGCGTCTTGCCAGAGTTGCTTGAGGTCAGCAAAGGTTGCTATGGATTGTATAATGTTGTAAAATTGCCGATAACCTTGTCAATTGCTTGTGGAAGCTGCACTGCAACGCAAGCATGGCATGTCCTCTTCAAATCTGCCTTGTTCTATTTAACCGCTTCCCAATGATGCGTTTTCAAGGAACTTTCATCGATTTCTCTGGGTTGGACAAGTAAGGGCAAAGCAAGACAAAGAAATTGAGTCTAGAGTCTAGCGTAAATCCATGTAAATCCCTCTTTGATCAAAATCCTAGACTTTCATGTGTCTGCTGGTTTGGGAAGCATCCTTAGGATTCGGATTCCTTAGGAGCATCTGCAGAATGAGTTTAAGCCAAAATGAGCAGCACAATGCCACACCAATCTCAGTCAGTAGGTGTTACAGCCGAATTGGCACTCTTCCGGACTCTTCCTCTTCCCATCTCTTCCCATCTCTTCCCCAACGCCCTTCAGATCCTTCAACCTGAGGCTAACGCTCCAGCGTGCCGAGTCGTGGCAAAAAACACCAAGGAAAAGCGATCCTCAGTTGACATCGACGTCCAGCCCTCACGGGGTTGTTGCTGTCACAAGGCTTGTGTGATTTTAGCCTGTATCATTAGACTATCATATCTATCACCACTCCGAGGCTTCTAAGATCATTCGAAGATCTTCCGAGGCACATACTCCTCCAAAGAACGGACGCACCTTGGACACGCAAGTGGATGTATAGGAGGTCTTCGATTGGCACATATTGGCACCAGCCCTCACAGCATCTGAACTCTTTTAGCTTCCTGCAAAATGCATTCGACGCCCATCAAAGCGTGCCTCGAAGGTCTGAATCCAAAAAGTTGCTGCTTGATATGCTGCACCAGACTGCGAGCTTTCACTGAGATGCAAACCCACCTGTTGTGCCTGAGCACGTCAGTATCTAGACTCTAGACCAACTGGGACAGCAGGCTAGCAATCTAGCAATCAAGCATTGGCAGGTGCAAGATGGGCCAACCATGGCCAATCCCTCTGCAATTGAGGACATATTCAAGATTTTTTCTCATATCACGGCTACTGCAAGTACACAAGTAAATAATTGTGCATGTGTGTATTTGATTATGTTTACAGTTTACAGATGCTTACAATATATATATATATAAGATTATATAAGGACCTGATTCAGATTTCAAGCACCAACTGTATACTCTCATTGCCGCTTCCAGTTTTACTTCCGCAGGTGGGACCGAGCAGTCTTTCCAGCCTACTCAGACATGTTCTAGTCACTATAGTCTATAGTCTCTTAGACTCTTAGCATCTCTTAGCGGTTGGCCTTTGCCACGCGCTCAATTTCATCCTTCTTCTTGATGGCATAGGAGTTGGAGGACTCTTTGGCGCAGTTCATGATTTCATCCGCCAGGCACTCTGAAATGGATTTGATGTTGCGGAATGCCGAGTTTCGCGCTCCGGTGCAAATCAGGTAGATGGCCTGATTCACTCGACGCAGTGGTGACACATCCACAGCCTGACGGCGCACCACACCGGCAGAGCCTACTCGGGTGGAGTCTTCGCGAGGACCTCCATTCTTGACAGCATCCACAAACACCTGGATGGGGTTCTTGTCAGTCAGCAAATGGATGATTTCGAAGGCGTGCTTCACAATGCGCACTGCCATAAGCTTCTTGCCGTTGTTGCGGCCGTGCATCATCATGGAGCACACCAGACGCTCCACGATCGGGCACAAAGCCTTTCGGAAGCGCCGCATCTGGTATCGGCCCTGGGTGTGAGGAAGGAACAGCTGAGCAGTTCCCTTCACGGCGATGTAGTCCACCAAACTCAAGTCCGACAGCATCACATCCTCATAGGTCCATTTGCCAAAAAGCTTGACCTCTGTGGCAAACATGGCCGCTCCCAGATCTGACCTGGGGCAATGGTCACACTGCTTGAGCCCACCCTTGGCAACGGCAACTGAGACATGGCATATGGACTGTCATGCAGGCTATCATGCTGCCTGCGGCAAGTGTCCAAGTGTTGAGAACATTTGAGAATCTTTGGAACTTTGGGCATTTCACGCACACATTTCTCCGTCAAAAGGGCAGTGCTGGGTGCTTGAAAAATGCCATAAATGCCAGCAGCTGCAAGCAGCATATCTGAGTCCCGCACACATCCAAGCTGGTGCCATAGCACGTGTCTCCCTCGCGGTATCGCCTTAATGGTGAACATTATCAGGCACCCTCAATCCGTCTCAGATGCCACAGCGGCACATCGCGATATTCAAATCAAGTCATGACACTCGAGAACGCTTGCATTCAACGCTGGTATACTGGTGCGGCAAGCTATCAGGGAAAGCGCTGTTGAAGCTACAGCTCCAAAATCTGAAACAGAATCCAAAGAGAAGTTGGACATTCCAAACATGTCACGAAATATGACACATGAGTTTGCACTCAGATCTGGCACCCAGGGATGTCGCAGGTCAGCACATGTCGTTCGCCTTGGGCTGCAAGAGCTCGAGATGAAGCCAGAGGATTTCTGGATCTCTTCGTATCGAGGATCCTGCGGCCTTCGGGGTCCTGCATCACCAGGTCTCACAAATGGATGGCCGTGGCCCGATGCCCCCCAAAGTAAAGAATCTGCACTTGTGGAAACTGTACGAAACTGTGACAAAGTCCTCAACAAAGAGTTGTCCACCCGCGGTCCAATCCTTGGCTTTCCCAAATCCAAAATCGCTTTCTCCCAGCTAACCGAGGGATGGAAATCCACCACACCATACCAGGCTCCATTGGCTCCAGGAGCCCCTGCGCCAAGTCCTATTATCCAAGACGGACCTTGCAAGACAAATCTCATCAAATCTCAATGGCACCATATGGATCCATATGGCACCTGATCTGTGGCAATATGATGTAATATGCTGAGCCACAAGCCCACATTGTTGCCATCAACATGCTCCCGGGCCTGATATCGCACACAAACAGGGAACTCAGACAACTTAATGAATTGCTATCTGCCAGTTCTATCCACTTCTGCCATCTTCTGCCATGTTCTACCATCGTTCAATTTGTGATGGCTTAGCGTCACTTGGGATCCCTGCTGCATAATTCCGGTTCAGCTGGATAGATGTGCACACAATGCCATGACCTAGGCTGACACAGCTTGCTGTAGCTACAGCATAGCTACGGCTACAGCATCAGCTACCTGGGCTCAGGGCATCCATACCTGAAAGTGTTCGGCTCCTGTGCCGTCTTGATGCTCCATTATATTATATTGCCATTATATTATATTGATATATAATGATATATATATAATATACATCCGTGTAAATATACACACGCATAACATACTAACACGTAATATAGTATTATTTTTATATCATACAAATAATGATATATATGTCCATATAAATCTAAATATAAAACAGATCAAGTAAAATAAAAGCAACAGCAAATTCCTCGATACATTGCTTGAAGAAGCGCAACCTGGCCAGCACCAGTGAGAGAACTGGTGAAGTCTTGACTCAAACAGGTGCAATTATCACTGGTTATTGTTATATATTGTTATTGTCAATCATTATTTGAGGCTCGAACAACATCCGTGTGAGGTTCTTGTAGGAGTGTGTTGCCTTGCTCGGCAGTGGGCGGCCTCAGTGGGAAGCGGGACTCCTTGATATCCCAAGATGAAATACAGTGAGTCAAGCTTTATTGGAAGGCACAAAAATACAGAGACCACTGAGACCACGGCCCAAGGTGCTTGCGCTCGAGACTAACCTTGAATTCAAACGCAGAGCTGATTGTCTGATTATATACTTATTTGATCTTATTTGTCTTTTACATCCCTTGTACGGAAAAAGAAGTTCATAACCTGCTAAGGATGTGGCCCAAGAGTAATGGAGTCAATGTACTCAACACCGTCTGGGCGGACCTAGCTGGATATCCAACTTGAGGAGCTCTTAAACAGCTGCTGGAAACGCCAACCCGATTTCATATGGTGCAACAGTGCAAGGCATCATCTTATCACAAAGTATCTGTCCTCCCTCTTCGCCGCTCAGGAGGCGACATTTGCCCTCCCATTATTTTTCCAATGCCTTGGCAGCAACAGGACGAGGGAAAACATCAGAAAACTGGCCGATAGCTGCTGCCTCTTGATCTGGCCACTTCTCGGGCTTCCAACTTGTTTGGAATTCGACGCAGTGCCTCCAGAACCTCAAATTGGAGATTCAACTGTTCCATGCTGCAGACCTTGCCAATGTACAGGGGAAAACTAAGCAGCTAGTAGCAGCATGCTGATGTCACATTACTTCGCATAGCTTACAGGTCCCGTTGCTAAGGCTAGGTCTTCTTTCGCACTGATCCTTTCTGCAGTATGCAAACAACATCAACATGTTCTTCGGCGGGTGGTTTTTATGGACTTGACTTTTTGGCCCCTTTCAGATCTTGAACGCTAATGTGCAGCCTGGACTTTGGCTTCAGAAGTAACACAAAACTCATCTGGTCCTCTCATTGCTATCGAGCCTGGACGCCTGTGCAAGCCAAAGAAATGATTGCCTCTTGTGATCCCAATGTCACTAACAAAAGTCAACTAACATAAACCATCGATTTAAGAAGACACACGGTCATCCGATGTCATCCACCATCGTCGTCTTTGAAAAAGGGTCCGAGGCTCTGGTCGCCCCGCTCTTCGGATTCCAGGGCATCATGATCGATCCAACGTGCAACGCAGTCACCCAACCTTAACGTCAGACTTCGAAGATGTCTTCCACCTGTATCGGCCTCAGGGAACCAAGAACAGCTAAAAGGTCTAAAAGCTGAGAGAACAAACTGAGCATAACAGGTTGAAGTGACAGATGCAGCAAAATCATGTAGGACAAAATATGGGCGCTTTATGGCAAATGATGGCACATGTACAATCCCAACGAGCTCGTGACTGAGGTATTGAATGTTGAACATCTTTCTCTGCAAGGCCGCAGCTTCATCCCGATCATCCTGAACATTCACTCTGAAGTCTCGGGACTCTGTCTGAAGTCTCGGACTGTATTTCTTCCAACCCCACATCATCAATGAGCACTGCCGACTTAGACACACACACACACAAACTCAAACCAGTGTGGGGGCAGCGTGCGGATCAGGACATGATATCTGGGTCCATGTTCAACACCAAACCTGAAGTTTTAAATCGGATAGTATCGAATTAAGTGGTGATAAGTGGCTGAAGATTTGAGATGATGTGGATGATTTGAGCTTTTCCCATTTTCCCAAATCCAAATATGTCGTCGGATGTCATCGGTGTGTTCTTCTGTTTCAGCTCCCTTGACTCCCTGACCTCTGCCTCCGACTCTTCACTCCACAGGAACCTGAGCATAGTAAATTACATAACATGACAATTCTGTGGTCATGCTATACCAATTTGACCATGTTAAATATGTCAAGTGTGAAGCTATGTGAAGCTATGTGAAGCTATGTGAAGCTATGTGAAGCTATGTGAAGCTATGTGAAGCTATGTGAAGCTATGTGAAGCTATGTGAAGCTATGTGAAGTTATGTGAAGTTGATGTTTGATGATCTTTGTGAATTTTTGAACATGAGGCAAAGACAATTCATTGTCCACCTCTACGAGTTGTTGTCTTGCCATAGAAGCCTGCCGTGATCGTAGTCCCCAGATGTCCCCAGTGACTGCAACACGGTCTTGAGATTTTGCATGATTTTGCCACACCTTGACACACTGTATTTTGACAATTCCAAACATCTTTCGCCATTTTTGTGCAGCGAGTTCTAGCACTCCAGCATCCTGTTGCCTGATCAACAAGAATTCCTTTGCCCTGATGCCCTGATGCCCTGATGCACTGATGCCCTGATGCCCTTTGACCCGGCTCGTTCGTAAAGGCCAAACTGGCCAAAATATGCCAAGGCTATCGATTTTCTGCCCACCGTCCACATGGCGTTTTTCGACCGACTCATGCGGTGCAAACTGCGCGGGGGTTGCGTCATCACACGTCTTGTGAACTCCACAGTGGATTAGAAATCAGAAATGATATGAAATGATCAGAAAGTTGCAGCTGTCTATTGCAAAAGCTTGGCTGTGACAAGAACAGAGTTCTGTTTGTGACGTGGCTCACACATTATCAACAAGCCATGGCCGATAGCGCCATGTCATGCATTAAACACAACGCCTACAGGTTGAAACACCCGGAAATGATTGAAACATCTTTACTTTTTGAAACCTGTTAAAACTCGCCCTCCAAGGCTGCTTGAAGCTTGGAAAGTTGGGCTGTCATCCTTGGAGTGCAGTTGTGGAAAAGAAACATGACTCCTCATGGCACATATCCTCACAGCTGGCATCAGTTGACATGCGCCAAATTGCTGAGCCTTTGCTGCCATTGCTGATAAGTTGCTTTGCATCTCCCTCAGCGTGGCCAGCTATCTGCCTTGGATCTTGGTGCTGGAAGTTCAGCCGGCCACATAGGAGCTACAGCATATAAAATTATATAAAGCTATATGAAGCTATATGGAGCTGTGCAGCCAGATGCCCAAGCAAAGATTCTTCCTGGGTCTCTCAAGATAAGTTGCGCTACTGCCTGGAGAAGCCTCAGTTTGAACACCAGGACTGATCTAGATAATTCAGCGGAACGAATGAAGTAGCTTCTGACACACCTCTCACACGCTTCAGCACCAAGAAAAGAGAGAAAAGACCTCGGGAATTGATTCAAGATGCCTATATTTTTTTGCCAGGGCTTCTCAGAGGATTTGCCCACCACACTGCCCGCATATGCCTACATGCCAATACGGATCATATCCTGAATTTGCTCGGGACTCCCAGCAACTTGTTTCAGCTTAGGAGCTTTTCGCGGGGAAAGTCATAAGATTCCAACAAGTCTGCCAGCAATCCTTTCACTACTGGCCTTGGCTGCAGCACTGGCCAGTAGACACCAAAATTTAAGTTATGATAAAAAAAAAAAACGTCTTTCTTGCTACCAGTACAGTATGCCATGATATGCCATGCTTCCCAAACAACTTCCCAGATCCAAATATTCCAACATTCCAACATACTTTGCACCAGTTTGCATCTGGAAAAATGGAACCGCCAAGATGCATCAAGGCAGCGATCCTTTGTGCACCGTCATCGCAGGAAGCAACCTGAGATGGTCATCCAATTTGGACATTGGGCCGGGGGGTTCATCTTTGAGTCATGCTTCAACCTGCATTCTAAGGGAGAGCTCACATGTGCCGGAGAAAACCAAGGCAAAAAACGGGGCAAGGCTAAAGAATGGATACAAAAAATCGTCAATCAAATAATTTCAAAAAACGGTGCCCACTTCTCACCGCAAGATCAATTAATGGATCAACCAACTCAATGCATTCGAGCCACTACTTCCTTCAGCTTCTTCTTGTTTTGAGGCTTCTCAAAGATTGCCTCGGAGTCGGAGGCTGAAAGGGCCAGCACGGTCGGTAACCGCCTTACCTTATGCAACTAGGTGGCGACGGCTTTTCTCAGAGCTTCCTTCGCTTGCGCCTGCAGATCTGCAAACAGCTGCAAAATCACAATATATAGCAGTTCTTCAAAACAGTCAATGAAACAATATGAATGGATATACGTCAATGTGATTTTTTAATCAAGTCGAAAGAACTTGGCAGCGTCCCATGTGGACCTTGCTGAGCTTCACCATCTTGGGTCGAGCCTGGCCTGAAACAGACTTCAAGGATCTTCAAGGATCTTCAAGGGCTGATTCAAGGGCAAAGTTGGCACATCCCAAAATGTTGGACCCTGCCTTCAGGCGCTTCAGGGGCTTTGGGTGGAGCAGCTGGTGAGGCTCGTGAGGCCGGTGAGGCCGGGGAAGCCGGGGAAGCTGGAGAAGTTGACGCTTCCAGCTTCGGCTTCGGCTTCGTTTTTTTCTTCTTTTCCATCACCTCCTGCAGTCCATGGTGGCCCCAAAAAGGTGTGAATACTCTGCAAATGGGTTGACGGCAGCTGCCACTGTAAATGAAGCTGAGAACTCTCATTCCGCCATGGCAGTCAGCAAACTTAGCGGCAAGGTCCTGTCTCACGACTTCTTTGGCGGTTAAATCTGCCTTCACCTCCAGTCAGAACATAGTGGAATCAGCGATGTCAAACAACTTCCGCGACAAGAATCGAGACTAAACGAATCAACATGACCGAACTCAAAACAACATTCAACATTCCCAAAAAATATTAAAACACCAAGAGATAACAAGTGATTGGGCATTTGGTTTTCCTCTTCTGAAGAAAAGTATAACTAACTGCGGCCCGAGGGCAAAAGCGCGAGCGGTGAGCTCCTTCTCTACTTCAGGCCACGATTCCTCTCGGCCGAGATGAACACACATACTGTAAACACACCAGCTGCTGCGACAAACTAATTTTTCTTGGCCACTTGTGATCTCTACCTTGGTGTGATCCCTGCTTGAGGCCATTCAGCATCGCAACTTCTTGACAGCTTAGGATCAACAATAATTAATCGAGCTCTTTCAATCTTGAGCAACTCTCCTAAACTCCGAAACATTGTTCGCAACTTGCTTTTCCCTTCATTCAGCTGTTTACAAGTTTTTACAAAGCCACATATTAACTGCTATGAAATGTTACAGGCCTTGATGTTCTTCTTCCGCGCTATCTGTTCATCAGCAACTTGTTTCCAAAGTGGTTCGGCATCAATGCCTGGCATGACAGGCGCTGAACAAAGACTGAACTGATTACTCATGTATGCCTTTGCGTGTGCGTGTGCGTGTGCGTTTGCGTTTGCGTTTGCGTGTGCGTGTGCGTGTGCGTGTGCGCGTGTGCGTGTGCGTGTGCGTGTGCGTGTGGGTGTGTGTGTGGGTGTGTGTGTGGGTGTGTGTGGGTGTGTGTGTGTGTCTGTGTGTGTGTGTGTGTAACATCTGAATAGATGTAAAACTTCTTCTCTCTCTTTTTCTTCCTTTGTCCTCTCCCTTTCTAATTCTAAATTAAATTTAATGCAGGGGGCCACCGGGGTCCCGGGGGGGTCGGTGGCCACCGAAGACACCCCCCCGGGACCCGTGTAAACGTACCTGCATTAATCTAACGATCTAGGCTGGTTTGCATGTCTCAGGATTCAGTTCCTGACGGATCATATAATGATCCATTCTTGTCTAGTGTGATTTCCATGGTGGCTCCGACATGGTGCCATGGAGCCATTTGAGGCAACCCTTTTTAGGGTGAGTGTTGACCGTCTGGAATTCTGAATTCACACATTTTAACTTAGTAATTCGTCTAAGTAAAGGGCAACAATCAGCCTTGCGGTTTTCCAGCCTTTTGAGATTGTCCCGCTGATCTTGTGGTCCCAGGGATTACTCGCCGATGCGTTTCTTCAACTGTGAAGCCGTGCCGAATTCCAGAAACCTCCGTTTTTGCAGCAATCTTTGCAGTGACATTTTGCAACCGTCATGAACATTGGAAAGGCAGGCACACGACTTTCAGGTGTGGTGATTCTTTCTTTTGATGGTTGTCTGGTGAGGTGAAACATTTTGTGCATCTAATTCGATGGAACTTGGAAGCTGTTTTATGCCATTGCGGCACGACTTGACCACGGTCCCGGTGCAGGGAATAATCGCACGACTTTTTAGGCATTTAGGGACTGAATCCTGTTTATAATTAATTGTTTTGGTTTTCCTGTCGGTCATCAACTAGTCCCCCATTTGGTCCCTAATTCTCCCCGCGTGCCTCTCCGTAATGTGTCGTGGGGTTTAGGTGTGTGCGCTGTTTTTGTCAGGTCCGTTTCGCCGTGTAGGTTGGTTCCGGAGGTCCGTCTGTTCCCCTCCCCCCCCTGCGCTGTTTTTGGCCGTTTGCCCGTCGTGTGTCCGCTTTTTTCTTCCTCTTGCCTTTCAGGGTTGACCCGGCTCCGGCCGGGTGTGTGTGTGTAACATCTGAATAGATGTAAAACTTCTTCTCTCTCTTTTTCTTCCTTTGTCCTCTCCCTTTCTAATTCTAAATTAAATTTAATGCAGGGGGCCACCGGGGTCCCGGGGGGGTCGGTGGCCACCGAAGACACCCCCCCGGGACCCGTGTAAACGTACCTGCATTAATCTAACGATCTAGGCTGGTTTGCATGTCTCAGGATTCAGTTCCTGACGGATCATATAATGATCCATTCTTGTCTAGTGTGATTTCCATGGTGGCTCCGACATGGTGCCATGGAGCCATTTGAGGCAACCCTTTTAGGGTGAGTGTGACCGTCTGGAATGCTGAATTCACACATTTTAATTTAGTAATTCGTCTAAGTAAAGGCAACAATCAGCCTTGCGTTCTGCAGCCTTTTGAGATGTCCTGCCGTTCCGGCTGTCCCTTGAGATCCTCTCGATTTTCATTCTTCAAGCGTGACGTTGTTCGAAACAATCAGAAACCTTCTCCGTTTCGCAGCTGCTTTTGACGATTCATGACAACAGCATTGGATACAGGAATCAGGCAGGCACACGTCTTTCAGGTGTGGTGTCTCTTTCTTTTGATGGTTGTCTGGTGAGGTGAAACATATTGTGCATCTAATTCGTTGGAACTTGAAAGCCGTTTTATGCCAATTGGGGCAAGACTTGACCACGGTCCCGGTGCAGGGAAGAATCGCACGACCTTTAGGCATTTAGGGACTGAATCCTGTTTTTAATTAATTGTTT